AACAACAATCTTTCCTCATCGGTAAGGAGCTCCTTGTTAGAACCAAAATGTAATTAAACATAAATCAAACTATGATCTAATTATACAAAATCATCAATAATAAAATATTAGAATTGTGAAAACATTCCTGAATCTAAAAGATTGAGATCTTAAAGATTACCTTAGGATTGGGATCTTCCAAGATAAATTTCTCTCGAGTATAGACTCTATTATGGGGATATTAGTAGAATCTGTGACATCATAAAAACTAGTTGAATATAGAACAAAATAGATAATAAGCTCTTATTAATATTCATAAGCAAACAACAATTCCGAAATAATAGAGAATTTTTATCTCAAGATATCAAACACTACATCAATACAAAGTCTTTGGAAAATTATACTAACAACAAACGATATTCTTGTTGTAGTAATCAAACATTGACAATAAACTATGTCGAATAAAAGACTAATCTTTGAACTAATATAATGCTCACATAAAAATACCTTATAATTGTCACATATTTATTACCATGGTTACCACTTGAAATCTGATTAAATATTAACTTTCCTTTAGGCTAATTAATAAACACATGAATTAAAAAAGCATAATCATCTTGATATTTCAAATAAATTAATCTACGTAAAAGATGTGATTTAGACAACATTTTGTTTCAACGAATCTACTAAAATTTATTTATTTCATAATAATAATTTCCTCGATAACCTACAATCAAAACTAAAATTATAACTAAATCAAAATAAATATATTGTTGAGTTAATCGATTGACGGAATTGGCCAAGAGGGGGTGAATTGGCAATTAAAAAGTTTGGTGGAAGCTTTTGCAGAAAATTTAAAGAAATTGCACATCGATTTAGAGTGGTTCGACTTTATCAACCAAAGTCTACGTCCACTACCTTAGATATCCACACTAAGGATTTTCCAACAAATTCACTAATTTGTTCTTTCTTTTGAGGCCAAAGAGATAACCTTACAACTCCCTCAAGAATATACCTCAATTCTTGAGAACACTCTTTTCTCAAAGAAAAATACAAATTTGCAAACTTACAAGAAAAACCTCACAAGGCAAATATGTTTGCACAATTCTAGAACAAAGAAAGAACACTCAAGAATAAATACAATTGAGCACAATAAGTGTTCTTGAAAGAAAAATGAATATTGAATGAAAAATAGGCTTGAAATGCTCAAACTTGAGGTTTGATGCTTTCTCTTTGATTCTCTCTTGATTCTAATTGCTTGATGTTTTCTTATTATTGATCAATGGCTTCTAAGCTTGCTTAAATACACCTTGAATCACTTCTGAATGTTGGGGATAATTAGAGAAAATAATATAGTCATTTTAGTGTGAAAACAATTAATAAAACAATTTGGAGCGTGGGGGGAATCGGTACCCCCTATGGGGAATCGGTTCCCTAAGTGTAAAATTCAAATATTTCGACCGTTATAAAAGGGGGAATCGGTACCCCCTGGGGGGGAATCGGTTCCCTCTGAGCATACTGGAATTCTCGGAGCCAAACCATTCAGGGGAGAATCGGTACCCCCTATGGGGGGAATCGGTTCCCTCTGAGCAATCTGGAATTTTTAGCTTTGAAATGGTTCGAAATACTTTGTAAAATTATTTTGAAATTGTTTTAAGATTACAACTTAATTTTACACTTTGAGTAAGGATTAAAAATGATCTTTGAAAGATTTGGAGTAATGTTTTGATATTCGAATAATTCTATTGAATACTTAGAAAATCATTTGGAAAATCTTAAAATTCATTTTAACTTAATTTGTTATATCGAAATATCAAAATGTATGTGAAATGGCAAAATTGGTATATCTAATCATGAAGTAAATGATGCAATAATGAATAAATTTAATCACACCAAATAGATAATTTCTAACCATTCATGAATCCAAACAAATTCAAAGTCAATCAATCCACAAATTCAAACATTCTAAAATATTCAAAATGTTAAAACAACAAGTTTGGAGTTCAAAGCAAAACATTTAATCACATATCCAGATCAAGAGGAGGAAAACGAGCTCGCATAGTGGCCATTTCGTTAGTGAGGTCATTAATACGTGCGTTGGTTGCTTCATTATTTGCACGCATTTCCCGAAGAATTTTTAATTGTTGAGCTCCCATTGTGGATAAATGGGACTCTATAGAAGTAAAGCGCGAATCCATAGTAGCGTATCGAAAATCGAATGTCTCCATAAAGGATTGGAAATATGGAGGCATTGGATGCGTTTGTTGTGCTTGCTCTTCGGGCTGCTCCTCAGGCTGCTCAGGTTCATCTTCGGCTTCATCGATGTCTCGCATTAATTGCTCAAGTTCGAGATCTTCGTCAGCTTCGGGTGGAGCTTGTGAAGAACTAGCTCCCGGAGTATTTGCAGAAGATCGAACCCATTCCCCGGTTTCCTTATCCTTAATCCATCCTGCTCTCATTAAGGAAAGAAGGTGAATTTGTTTCTTAAGAGGAAAAACGACATCTAGACCGACTCTAAGCCCAGCTTTGGAAAACAGATTACTCAAAATACAACCGTAAACAAGAGATGAACAGAGTTTTTTATTAGGAACAAGATTTACGGTTTCAATAATTTTAAAAAAAATAATCTGAGGTAGGTTGATTTTAATATTGTTTTTGAAACAATGTAACCACCAAAGATCTAAGGCTCTAAGAGTAGAATAACGACCTCCGGATGGTCGAAACCAGCAAGAAATCATTAGATAAAGAAAACGTTCATGAAGGTCTAGGACACTTGCACTATCCCTTCTTTTATAACGAGATCCTAAAACCTATTTTTCATTTGAAATCTCATCATTATCTAATCCGAATGTATTGGCTATGTAAGTCGAGTCAATATATAAGAATTGTCCTAGAAGGTAGGAACGAATTCCTATGGTTTCGGTTTCAGTTTGGTTTTTAACACAAACGGCATTAGAATAGAAAATACGAACAAGTTGATAGTAAACGATGGGTTCAAAGTCAAAGAGTTTATCAAATTTCCACTCTTGTAAAAGATGAAGATATTTAAAATTGATAGCTAACATAGCTTGACAAGAAGGAATACGTTCTTCCGGATTTGTAAGAGTCGAAATATTGATAATACCAAAAACGATGATTTCTTGGACCAGAATGGTTGAAACACGAATTTTGGATAGTCAAATTAGGATCAATAGGATTAGGATTAGAAATTGGAATAGGTGGAGGATTTGAAGGTGGATTTGGTTGACGGTGTGAACGACTAGATGAAGACCTAGCACGTTTAGGATTGGACATGGTTTAGGAAATCGGAATAGAATTGATAACCTGCAATTTAGAAAACACATGTAAGCAATTTAATCAATCCCAAAACTCAATTGAGTCCTCAATATTTCAAGGTTCTCTAAATCAATCCTAATGGGCAAAGTTTTTGAAAAACTTTTGAAAAATATGGTTTTGAGAAACAATATATGTATAGTTTTCATAACAACAACATAATTTAATCAAAACACAATAATTTGAAAATTAACATTTTTTTTAATTTCAAAAATTTTAAAAAATTTGGAAAATTCTTGTGTTTTTGATGAAATTGGTTGTAATATCTAGTTTCTAATCACTAAACAATCAATGCCCGATCTAAAGTTCATCCTAGAACTAATTAAAACAAGTCCTATGTTCAAAATCAATAAAATAGGGAGTTTACAAAATTTTACCTTGAAGGATGAGATTGAGTGGATTTTGATGTTGTTTGCACGATTTTAATGATGATTGCAAGTTTAGGAGATGATATTTGAAGTGAATTCTGATTAAAATCGATGATTTGAGGCAAGAATGGAGATAGGGAGAGAGTTGAGAGAGAACGGTGGAAGAGAGAAAAATAAGAGATGTTTGAGCAAAATTGGGTTCTGCCCGTGTTAAAACCAGAACCCCAGGGGGGTATCGATTCCCCTATGGTGGGAATCGGTTCCCTCAAGGGGGGATCGATTCCCTCTGCACCAAAATGCTAAAATCCGATTTTAAACACCCAAAATGCTAAATTAATTTCCTCTAGTGGTATTGGCAACTCATATATTGAAAATTAATCATGTTCAAACAATTCAATTAATCTTTAAACGATATTTGAACATAAAAATTTTTTATCAAGAATCATAAACTCCCCTAACTAATAGCAATGAATGCAATCAAAAATTACTATTATAGCATTTTCATTTATATTAAAAGTGCTAAAATTATTTTAAACACTCAGTGAAGATAGATTGGTCAAACCTAATTCTCTTCTAAGTGTCCAAAATCGTTCCTTGTCTAAAGGTTTTGTAAAGATATCCGCTAATTGGTGCAAAGTATCAACAAATTCTAGAACTACATCTTCCTTAGTGACATGATCTCTAATGAAGTGATGTCTTATTTCAATGTGCTTAGTTCTAGAGTGTTGGATGGGATTTTTAGTGAGACAAATAGCACTAGTATTATCACACTTGATAGGAATGGTACCTACTTCAATTTCATAATCAAAAAGTTGTTGTTTCATCCATAAAACTTGTGCACAACAACTACCAGCTGAAATGTATTCGGCTTCAGTGTAGATAATGCAACACAATTTGTTTCTTTGAAAACCAAGAAATTAGCATATTTCCAAGGAATGGCAAGTACCGGAGGTGCTTTTCCTATCTAATTTGCATCCTCCATAATCCGCATCAGAAAAAGCATGCAAGCTAAAGCTAGAGTCTCTAGGATACCAAAGTCCTAAACTAAGAGTGTCCTTAAAGTATCTAAAGATTCTCTTAACAGCTAGTAAATGTGATTCCTTGGGGTATGATTGAAATCTAGCACATAAGCAAACACTAAACATAATGTTCGGTCTACTTGCAGTTAGATAAAGTAGAGATCCAATCATTGACCTATATAATTTAACATCTACACATTTACCTCCTTCATCTAAGTCAAGCTTTGTTGAAGAGCTCATTGGAGTGTCATGAGGTTTCCCATTTTCCCGTCCAAACTTCTTGAGCATATCTTTGACGTACTTAGCTTGATTGATGAAGATGCCATCTTTTCTTTGCTTGATTTGGAGTCCCAAGAAAAATGAGAGCTCCCCTATCATGCTCATCTCAAACTCACTTTGCATTAGCTTAGAAAATTCTTGGCAAAGAACATCATTAGTAGAACCAAATATTATATCATCAACATAAATTTGAACTACTAATAAATCTTTACCTTTATGCTTCAAAAACAATATAGTGTCAACCTTCCCTTTTGAAAAACCTTTTTCAATTAAAAAAATTGACAATCTTTCATACCAAGCTCTAGGAGCTTGCTTTAAACCATAAAGTGCTTTTGTCAATTTTAAAACATGATCTGGAAAATTTGAATCTTCAAAACCTGGAGGTTGTTCCCATACACTTCTTCTTTTATAAAACCATTTAAAAATGCACTTTTAACATCCATTGATATAATTTAAATTCATTGAAACATGCAAATGCTAATAACATTCTAATTGCTTCCATCCTAGCTACGGCAGCGTATGTTTCATCATAGTCTATGCCCTCTTTGAGTATACCCTTGAGCAACAAGTCTAGCCTTGTTTCTCACTATATTACCACTCTCATCAATCTTATTCCTAAATACCCATCTAGCACTACAGTAGATTTATTACTAGGCCTTTCAACTAATGTCCATACTTTTCTTCTCTCAAATTGATTTAACTCTTCTTGCATAGCCATAATCCAATGTTCATCATTTAATGCTTCTTTAATATTCTTAGGCTCTATGCATGAGATAAATGCAACATAATTACAAATATTTCTAAGAGAAGATCGAGTTGTACCCCTTTGATGGATCACCTATAATTTCACCATCCTTGACATAGTTGTACTCTCTTGGATAAGATACTTCCCTTTCTTCAATGGTTGGATTCTCAAGAGGATCATGAGTTTCCTCATTTTCGTTTCTTCCTTTGATGATGGTTCTCCAACGTCATGTCTAACGTCATTTGTATTTATAACACCTACATCATCATTCACACAAGAATCCTTCCTCGGAAGGGATTATCATCGAAAACAACATGTATAGACTCTTCTACAACTAAAGTTCTTTTATTAAATACACGATAGGCTTTAGAATTTAAGGAATAACCCAGAAAAATTCCTTCATCACTTTTAGCATCAAATTTGCCAAGGTTTTTTTTACCGTTGTTTAAAACAAAACATTTACATCCAAAAGGATGAAAATAACTAATGTTAGGCTTTTTATTTTTGAAAATTTCATATGGAGTTTTCTTTAAAATTGTCCTAATCATTACTCGATTTACAACATAACAAGCGGTATTTGTGGCTTCCGCCCAAAAATATTTTGGCAAATTATTTTCACAAAGCATGGTTCTAGCCATTTCTTCTAAAGTTCAATTTTTCCTCTCAACAACTCCATTTTGTTGAGGGGTTCTAGGTCTGAAAAATTATGGCTAATACCGTTAGAGTTACAAAATTCAGTAAATCCAAGATTTTCAAATTCAGTTCCATGATCACTCCTAACACTAGTTATAGAGTAACCTTTTTCATTTTGGATTACTTTTGAAAATGTGATGAATTGTTCTAATGCTTCATCTTTAGTATTTAAAAATAGAACCCAAGTATATCTAGAATAGTCATCTACCAAGACAAATGCATATTGTTTTCCACCCAAGCTAGTAGTTCTAGTTGGCCCAAAAAGATCTAAATGGATCAATTGTAAAACTCTACTAGTTGATACATCATTAATGGATTTAAAAGAAACTCGCTTTTGTTTTCCTTTAGCACAAGCATCACAGATTTTATCATTATCAAATTTAAGCTTAGGCAACCCTCTTACTAGGCCTCCTTGAATTAACCTTTGCAAAACACTCATACTAGCAAGTCCTAGTCTCCTATGCTATAACCAACTATCATGTTCATCCTTAGCAACTATGCATAAATTAGTCATATCAAAAGAATCTAAATGCACCATGTATATGTTCCCTATTCTATGACCAACAAGCATAATCCGATTAGATGCAATGTTAATGACTTTACAACCATTAATTTCAAATAAGACATTGAATCCTTTATCGCATAATTAACTAATACTCAATAGATTATGCTTTAATCCATTCACATATAAAACATTTTTAATTTGTATGGAAGAGGTATTACCAATTGTACCAATACCTTCAATGTGACCTTTTGAATTGTCTCCAAAAGTCACTTCTCCTCCATTTTTGGCATTAAGCTCAATGAACCGGTTTTTGTCTCCGGTCATGTGTCTTGAGCATCCACTATCAAGGTACCATGAATTTGAATTTGTTTCCCGTGCCTTGTAGCAATGCTCCTTTCCCTACAAACATAGATTAATTTTTGATTTTTGGTACCCAAATTCTTTTGGGTCCATATTTATTAGTTTCCAAAATCCTAGTCCCCTTAGGTATCCATTTGTGTAGGATACTTTTATGTTTAGTAGTAATGAGTTCTTTAGGAACCCACATACTTCTAACGATTTTTCCATTAGAGGTTCTTTGGGGACCTCTATGATTGTAGTTTTTAAAACTTTTTCTAACAAAGTTGGATTTTGAATTTCCACCTTTTTCAAAATGTTTTGTTCCAACTTTATCAAAAGAAGTTTTAAGATCATCAATTTTCTTTTGATGATCATCATTGATCTTTGAAAGTAAATTTTGCAAATCTAAATTTTTCTTTTCAAACTCTTCTAGTTTGATTTGCAAATCTTTGATTTTACTTTCAAGATCGTTGTTGGTTTTGGATATGAATTTGTTTTCATTTTTCAATTTTGAAACATCATTTTTATATTTTAAAAATAATTTCTCATAATCCGAAGCCAACCCATTATATTCCTCTAATAACTCATCATAGGATAAATCATCAAAATTGGATGAGTTAGAGGTTACCTTAGAATCTTCCCCAAATGCCATCAAGCACAAGTTAGCTACTTCTTGTTCCTCTTCATCGCTCCATGTAGCCACATGAGCCTTGTGCTTATTCTTTGATTGGCCCTTTTTCTTCAATTGTGGGCAATCATATTTAACATGCCCTGGCTTTTTGCATTCGTAGCAAATGATTGAGTCCTTCTCTTTCGGTTTATTTTTGAGGCCTTCATTTCGTTTGAATTTTCTTCCTCGATAAGGTCTCATCATTTTTCTGAACCATTTGGCAAACAATGCCATTTCCTTGTCATCGTCATCGTTATTCGAATCACTCTCATCTTTTGTGGATTTGAGAGCAACTCCAATGTTTTTCTTCTTCTCCTTTTCCTTTGGTGTCTCGTCAATCTTGTCGAGGTCCACCTCATCTTCGAGCATCATTTCATGAGTGAGGAGTGACCCAATTAGCTCTTCAAGAGTTAAGGACATTAAGTCCTTAAACTCGATGATTGCCGTCTTCTTTGATTGCCACGATTTTGGGAGGGAGTAGACTAACTTCCTCACAAGCTTTTCATTTGAAATGATCTCTCCATATGATTTGAGACCATTGACAATCGTTGAAAATCTATCCGTCATAGCTTTGATATCTTCATTTGGTTTCATCCTGAAATTTTCATAGCTATGCATTAGAATACTAATTTTAGATTTCTTTACCTCATCGGTACCTTCATGAGTGACTTGAAGTTTGTCCCATATTTCTTTGGCGGTTGTACACGATGAAACTTTTCCGTATTCATCTGGTCCAAGAGCACAAAAAATGATATGGATGGCTTTGGAGTTGAGCTGGAACATTCTTGTCTCTCCTTCACTCCACAACCTTGGATGAGTGAGAGGTTTGATGTATCCTTCTTCTACAGCATTCCATGCTCCCATGTCACTTGCTTGAATGAAGTACATCATTCTATTCTTCCAATAGGCATAGTTAGCTCCATTGAAGAAAGGAGGCTTGTTGATGGGCATCGAGTCGAGACCGGAGTCGATGTTTGAAGCGGAGGCCATTGATGACTTTGATTATCGATATAACTTTTCCCGAATCGACTCAAGAGGCGATTAAACCTTCAAATGAGTTAGGCTCTGATGCCAATTGTTGAGTCAATCGATTGACGGAATTGGCCAAGAGGGGGGTGAATTGGCAATTAAAAAATTTGGTGGAAGCTTTTGCAGAAAATTTAAAGAAATTGCACAGCGATTTAGAGTGGTTCGACTTTATCAACCAAAGTCCACGTCCACTACCTTAGCTATCCACACTAAGGATTTTCCAACAAATTCACTAATTTGTTCTTTCTTTTGAGGCCAAAGAGATAACCTTACAACTCCCTCAAGAATATACCCCAATTCTTGAGAATACTCTTTTCTCAAAGAGAAATACAAATTTGCAAACTTACAAGAAAAACCTCACAAGGCAAATATGTTTGCACAATTCTAGAACAAAGAAAGAACACTCAAGAATAAATACAATTGAGCACAATAAGTGTTCTTGAAAGCAAAATGAATATTGAATGAAAAATAGGCTTGAAATGCTCAAACTTGAGGTTTGATGCTTTCTCTTTGATTCTCTCTTGATTCTAAATTGCTTGATGTTTTCTTGTTATTGATCAATGGCTTCTAAGCTTGCTTAAATACACCTTGAATCACTTCTGAACGTTGGGGATAATTAGAGAAAATAATATAGTCGTTTTAATGTGAAAACAATTAATAAAACAGTTTGGAGCGTGGGGGGAATCAGTACCCCCTATGGGGAATCGGTTCCCTAAGTGTAAAATTCAAATATTTCGACCGTTATAAAAGGGGGAATCGGTACCCCCTGGGGGGGAATCGGTTCCCTCCGAGCATACTGGAATTCTCGGAGCCAAACCATTTAGGGGGGAATTGGTACCCCCTATGGGGGGGATTCGGTTCCCTCTGAGCAATCTGGAATTTTTGGCTTTGAAATGGTTCGAAATACTTTGTAAAATTATTTTGAAATTGTTTTAAGATTAAAACTTAATTTTACACTTTGAGTAAGGATTAAAAATGATCTTTGAAAGATTTGGAGTAATGTTTTGATATTCGAATAATTCTATTGAATATACTTAGAAAATCATTTGGAAAATCTTAAAATTCATTTAACTTAATTTGTTATATCGAAATATCAAAATGTTTTCAACATATATATTTTAAAAACGTATATTCCATTACCATGCCATTAGAATCTTTATTCATAAAATCAAGAAGCCCAAACATTAAACCTCTATCGCAAATAAATAAATAAAATTTAAATTACAATCAAACTCAATGCGACGCACACAAAAACAATCAAATTGCTTCTTAAAAACTTAGGGTTAGGCGTGAATAATTAATCCTAAGTTGCTTCTCAATATGTTATTCTTAACCGTAAGAATAAATTAAACTGTAAGTTATCGCATAATAAGTTAACGCACATAACTCTCTGTATTTATCGATCGATATATTAAGCGCACGAAGAAAAAAATACAAAATTTTAAAATTAATTCTCAATAATTCATCATGATGAGACGATGATATCACTTGTTAGGACCAAATCATAATTGAACATAAAATCAAATTAAGATCTAATCATGTAAAATCATTAAGAATTGTGGAAGCACACCTAAATTAATTGTTGGAGATTATTTAGAGTGTTGAGATCTTTAATATTACTTTAGAGTTTAGATCTTCCAAGAAGATAGGTTATCTCTTTATATAGCTGATTTAAAAATCAGTTATTGACTGTATTTATAGCTTTGTCTCTCATCAAATTACAAATAAAACTTTAATAGTATATATACTTTTATTTTCATGATACTTCTAATATCTTATGACTTGTGTAACATAATTGATCACTTAATTTATATCATATTTTATGATAACAATATTTATTAAAAATATATATACCCACAATTATGAATTTTAATCCAACATTCCTTTCATTATCAGTAAAGAGTTCCTTAATCACCGACGTCAACAAACTAAACAGACCGCATAAAAAGGGGGGGGGAATCATATAAATAAAGAAATAAAATTCAAATCACAAAATCGAACCCTCTTCATATTAAAAAAAAAACCTCTTATATAAACTACAATCAATTGATCAATCTCATCACGATTATCCACCTGATCTTCAAGATAAAAATGTTAAAAGACAATCCCTTTAATGACTCCAAATCTCCCTTCATCCATAAATATTGAAAGAACAAATCCCTTTACTTAAAGACTATCAAATAGAGTGAAAATTGCTAACGAAATAAATTACTTGCAATGTTATTCAAGCTATTAGTCGAGATATTGTACATATAAGTATATACTATACTAGGCCTGGGCCCGAGGACAATGATGGTATGACCGATTAAAAGATATGGGAATGATCTAAAGAATGTGTTTTTGGGCTGTCATGGTGTATTGTCTTTGAGGAAGGAGACGAGATCAGCCTTAGAGAATCGGACAAAACACTTCGGCTTTAGTCGAAATCGGACAAACTGGTTACGGAACATTGTTGGGTTTTGTTTTACATTTACTTTCTCCTTGTCCTAAAGTTGCATGTAAAATGTAGTTTCTCACCCTTAAAACTGAAGAAGAAGAAGAAAACAAATGGGTTTGATCAAGTAGAGCTCTCTGAAACTGACACTGCACGTGTTCTACACGTTTCTTGTTCTATGTACACGTGTATAAACCCAGACTATAAGTAATATTATTTAAAAAATACTAGAAAATATGACTTTTTTTTAATAAAATAGAGGCTGATAGCTTGTGGGGTTGATCCCTTCTTTTATATATGAATGTGGGATCTTGTATTTGTGCCTTGTTATTCATCAAAAACTTTGAAGTGTGTGTCTTTCTGTGTATCATCTGTCTTTCCCTATAATCTATACGATTCATTCTTCTCTTCCTCTGGTATCAGCCTGGGTTGAATTTGAAATAAAATTCATAATTTACTGGGAAATTGTTGAAAAAGAAAAGATGGGAAGGCAGCCATGTTGTGACAAAGTTGGATTGAAGAAAGGTCCGTGGACTGCAGAGGAGGATCAGAAGCTTATTAACTTCATCCTCACCAATGGCCAATGCTGCTGGAGAGCTCTTCCCAAGCTTGCAGGTTAATAATTTTCTTGACTCTTTCGAGCAAAATATGATTCGTTAATTGATTAACGATCAATCGAAAATCAAACTTAAACGCAGTGTGGTATTGGAATTTGCAGGATTGTTAAGGTGTGGGAAAAGTTGCAGACTGAGATGGACAAATTATCTTAGGCCAGACCTGAAAAGAGGACTCTTATCAGAATATGAAGAGCAAATGGTCATTGATCTCCATGCTCAACTTGGCAACAGGTTCATTTTTCATCCATGTTTACCTAATTATTTTACTATTCAAACCCCAAACATTTTCACTATATTTATTTTTTATTTTATTTTTTTGCAGATGGTCTAAGATTGCTTCTCATCTTCCTGGAAGAACTGATAATGAGATAAAGAACCATTGGAATACACACATAAAGAAGAAACTAATGAAAATGGGCATCGACCCTCTCACACACAAGCCACTTCAACAACAATCCCAGCAGGAGCAGGAACAAAAGATGGACAAAAGTCCCAATGAGCTGCCTGAAACATCTTTACAATCCACAATAACTGAAGCAAAGGAGGAAGAAAAGAGCTTGACAAGCGCTTTACTCGACTACCGGGCGACGATGATGACGATGGACGATATTGATGGTTTTTGTACCGACGAGGTTCCGTTGATCGAACCACATGAGATTTTGGTCCCTGTTACTTGTTCTTCTGCACCATCATCGACGTCTTCTTCCTGTGATTCTTCCAAGTTACTTGAAGAATTGCAGTTCCCTGATTTCGATTGGCCGACTGACTGCAACACTAGTAATGATAATGACGAGAACTTCGGCTTGTGGAATGATGATTTCAGTGA